AGGAGAGGGGAGGGAGGGAGGGAAGCAGGAGAGGGGAGGGAGGAGAGGGGGAAGGCAGGGAAGAGAAGGGAAGGGAAGGGAAGGGGAAAAAAGGAAAAAGGAAAAAAGAACAAAAGGACTTGAAATAATGTCTGGATAAAATCAGTTTGGGGCATGGTTTGAAATGAAGCATCATACTAGTGACATGACAACTACTGAGAATGAGCTACAAAGTTAGAAGTCACCAAAATATATTGATTTGTATCCCCTGATATGATTCAGTGAAGAGAAAATTAATAAAAAATTAAGACTGAGCTTAGTAAATATCCTATTTCTAAATGCATGTCACATGATACAAAAAAATCAAAGAATCATGAAAAGCCAGAACAAGGGACCAAGGAAGTTCAGGCACATGTTTTCTGCATGCACCACGCATCACAGTGCTAGCCCGGGGACCTGGGAACGGAAGCTGAGGCCTATGTATGTCACCACCAGCAGTGTAACTGGTAGGAGGCATTCTTTTATAAATAACATTCCCAACTATGATTTTATAACTTACCACTGTGTCATTAATCATCTATAGAAGTACAATTATAGAAATTCTCAAAACTAAATTATTTCACACATGGGATGTGGGGATGGATATTTTTATGGAACACCTTTCTGGAATGACCGCTGCTAACAAAATGAAATAGTAAAACAAGACTGTGCCTTCAAAAGGATGCAAAAAAGCATCCTTAGGAATCATTTATCTAAGGATTTGATTTACATTTATAAGCTATTTGTCAGAGTGAGATTCTCCAGCTAGGCAACAGACCATGTGTAAGAAAATATATCCCTCTATGGCTCACTGACTATATAGACATATATCGTATATGCTGATACATATGTGTTATTTGTTTTTTCTCTTTGATACTTCCACAGAAAACTCTAATGATTAAAAAAAAAAGACTGCTTCACTAAACAGTGATATAAACATCTACAGACAAGTTTCAGAGCAGTAGTTACAAATATATTAAATCATAATTTTCCCAAGAGTTGTAAAAGAAAATGCTTCCTTCATATTTACAAACTACAACAATTAGCTCCCGTTCATGTTACCTTTTACTGTGCAGCTGAATTCTGGTCCAATACAGAGGCTTCATTGGCCGACAGGGCTCTATTGGCTGCTTCCTACTCCCTTTGTCCTGATGCATCCCTAATCCAAACAAGCCAGTTGGCAACGGAGGAGGAAGAAATCCACACACTTGAGGTGTTGGTAAAGTGCTACTCCCAGTTTGCAGGGTGAGTGGAGGGCCTGATCCAGGAAGCAGAGGGGGTGGTGGTGGTGGGGGAATGCCTGTTCCAGGAGGGGGAGGGGAAGCTGGAGCAGGTGGAATCCCCATACCTGGCAAAGGAGGAGGTGGGGGAATCCCAACTCCAGGCAGAGGAGGGGGAGGAGGTATTCCTTCACCTGGCAGAGGTGGGGGAGGGGGTATTCCCACTCCAGGGAGAGGTGAGGAAGGAGGTATTCCCACTCCAGGGAGAGGTGGGGGAGGAGGTATTCCCACTCCGGGGAGAGGTGGGGGAGGGGGTATTCCCACTCCAGGGAGAGGTGGGGGAGGGGGTATTCCCACTCCGGGGAGGGGTGGGGGAGGGGGTATTCCCACTCCAGGGAGGGGTGGGGGAGGGGGTATTCCCACTCCAGGAAGAGGTGGGGGAGGGGGTATTCCCACTCCAGGAAGAGGTGGGGGAGGAGGTATTCCCACTCCAGGGAGAGGAGGGGGAGGAGGTATTCCCTCACCTGGCAGAGGGGATGCTGGAGATATTCCCACTCCAGGAAGAGGGGGGGGAGGGGGTATTCCCACTCCAGGAAGAGGTGGAGGAGGGGGTATTCCCACTCCAGGGAGAGGAGGGGGAGGAGGTATTCCCTCACCTGGCAGAGGGGGTGCTGGAGATATTCCCACTCCAGGAAGAGGGGGAGGAGGGGGTATTCCCACTCCAGGAAGAGGCGGGGGTGGAGGTATTCCTTCCCCAGGCAAAGGCGGGGGAGGGGGTGGCAGCATCTCTGTACCAGGCAGAGGGGGAGGTGGGAAGCCTGTTGTACTGGGCAGAGCAGGAAGAGGGGGAGTGGAGGGAGTCACCATGCCCAGGCCAGGCATGGAGCTGGAGGACTCTGTGCAAGGCAGGGGCAGTGAGGGTGAGATGTTATGGCTGTTTTCAAAGGAGAAAACAGAGTGTTCATGGCTGGGCTCAGACTCAGGATGAAGAGAAGGTGGGGAAGGCTGTGGCCCAGCCTGTCCTTGGCTGGCCTGTCCTTGGCCCTCAAAACATGGAAGGGATGCAGGGGTTGGAGGCTGACTGCACTGATGTGCGTCCAACTGGACTGATATTCTCCGTTGAGACACAATCAAAGAAATCTCTGAGCAGAATTTTGTCTGAGGTCCAGAAGGTGAGGATGGCACAGCTGAGTGCCCACTCCCAGCCCCAGGTGGGCATGGGGGACCCGGGGCACCTGGTGGAAGTGCACTCTCGGACAGCAGTGTGGGCAGCCCGCCCTCTCCTGTCGGGGATGTCTGGATCGACTTCGCTTGTAAAATCCTTGGATGCCGTACATCCTTTTCTCCTAACCTGAGAGCTTCAAGACAGATATCTTCTAAGGGCGTCACTCCGTTCTGAACCCCATGATGGCTGCTGGCCACCTCCATGTCCACGGCAGGGCACTGCCGCTCTAGTTCAGCTATTTTGGTCCTCAGATCCTCAATGGTCTGTTCCAGCTGCTGAATGACGGTTGCCTGCCCCTCAGATTTCATATCGAAAACTTCCTGAGGGGCAACAAAGGCAGACATAGTTAAATATAAAAAAGATTTAAAATATTATAATACAGTAAGGAATAAAAGAACTAACAAAATTAAGCAAAATATGTGGGTGTTATAATACTTCCAGAAAGATCTTTCATTATGGAGTCCACTAGATACTCTTTTGTGTCCCCTCATTTCCACCCTTGGACTTCAAAGTGCTTTAAACACATTACCATAAATTCCTAATGCCCTTGTTTGCCTAATATTTGAATGAGATCATCAATGACAAGAAGTAGTCCACTGAGAATAAGGAAGAAATCTTGGAATCACACACCAGTTTATTTCCAAGATAGCTTTCTCTCTTCCCTGATGAATAACATTTACTACTAGGATGTTCCCTAGATATTTTAGGTCCTAAGCTTTTAAAGGTAAATCAGTAGTCTCCAATAAGATTATGTGAAATATTTTTGATATCCATATGGGCATGTGCACATAAATCATGCATATGTGTCATACCATGTATATTATGTTTACCATAATTTCAATATTTTACCCCCCGGCATGTCGGGCAGCTATACCTTATGGCTCTGTACTATTTATAAAGAAGGCTGGTACAATCATGCCAATGAATGGGCCACCCTCATGTCTAAATGCTATCCTCCTCTCCCTAGGAAAGGTGATAAAAAGGAGGCATACAAGGTAGGAGCAGAAGAAAGAACAAACTCCAGCTGTGAGACTGCAAGTCAAGAGCTGCTCAGAGATGGATTTGCTCCCTCAAGGCTGAAGTGTGAAACTAGGTGGAGATCTCTTTCCCCGGGGTCACCAGGGTTTTCAGTGACAGTCCCAGTAGAAGCCACCCTGCAGAGCCACCATCCACAGGCACACACAGTGGTCCTCTCCCCACATGGGACCCTGCAGCTGACACTCCAGACCTGCTTTTACATATCATGGAGGATGCAGTATAAAGATGATATTAAGTCTAAAACTAACCTCTTATCCTGCTTGCCCAAGGTTAAACTCTGGATCCAAGACAAGTCTCCACAAAATATAAACTTTTCCCAGACTCTTTATTAAATCCCATTTGCAGTGAAAAAACTCCCATGGGGAGTTAGGAAGGTACAGACTTCCTAAACAGTCTTAATCCTAAATTCTGTTACTTCTTCCCTGGAAACTGTATCTTTACAATATTTAATGTGCTGAACAGCAAGTATGATGCTTGTTGAAAACTGAAGAAAATGGGTGACTTCAGAGGCACAGCCCTTATGCAAGGAACTCTATTTCCCTATAGTTAAAACATTTCCCTTACTGTGGAAGAAACTTGAAAAGGAAATTCATTTGCTTTTCATCTAACACAAGAATACATCACAATCTAAATGGGCACAATTTTGAGAGGTACTTTTTATTTATATGTAAATACAGATATTCATATATATATTTAAATATTTTCAGTCATATTTTCACCAATGCCTACACAAAAGACTAAAATATTTCAATACATAGTTTGGAAAATCATGCCATATATTTTCTATATAGGCCACAGTGAAAGAAAGAACTATAATAAATAATTTCTAATACCCTGTTTGGCCACTGTTATTAATTCCACTTTCCAATTATGATGTAAGTCCAAGAAGAAACCATAACCAAAAAACTAGTTCCCAACTTCATCCTAATAAAAGATACAACTATTCAGTATTTCTTCCTTATCCCAGATTAATAAAATGTATAGATCATTTTTGTTTTCCCAGCATAACCTTAAAAGTGACCCATAAGCATTAATAAAGTATTTTCCAAGTTATGTTAATAGGGCTCTCATTTTCCCATTTATATACTGATTATATAAAAAGATTAGCTGATGGAAGGAATGCAAGAAGTAAATTCTGGAAGTTTTCCAAAACACAATTCTTAAATGCTATTACCCAGGTCCATTCTTTCTCATCATAGATTTTGAACATAATGAAAGCAATACAAAAAGTAAAGGACATGGAGGAGGAGGAAAAGGAGAAGTCGATCCTAAAGCATGACAGCCCAGCACAATAGTAGTTATTACACCTCCTTCTATGTGGATTTATGCCCCCACATTTACAGGTCAACTAGTCCAACACAGCCAGGATAGTACCATGACTAGGACATTCCTGGGAACTGTTACCTTTTCTATTTATACAGCCAGTAGGAAAAAGGTAAAAGAGGGTCCCATTACACATGACAACTAGCACCAGAAAAAGACATCTTATAAGTAATTGCCTTAATACAGTTTGGCAGTTACTAAGCTTAGTCTCCCAACCTTCAGTTCCCTCTCCTTCTGTGTAGAAGTAGCAAGAAAAACACATTTACAGACTCCCTTGCAGCTAGATGCACCTATTAGACACAGTCGCACAGAGACTTAGAAAGTGGAATGAGGTGGGGCATGCTCCTGTGCACCTGGATGGTTCTGTTAGCAATCAAGATCAGCTGACTTAAAGCTGCTCTGGAACAATCTCCAGTTTCCAATGGTAGCCTCAAAGGTTTTAGCTTCCCTGGTATATCAGTTTTATCTGATTCCTTTGAAAAGTTTCAGCCTTGAAGTCACTCTTACAAATGTTCTGAACTTTCCATGAAAAAAACCTAAGTTTATAGTAAACCCTTCTGTTTTGCAATAACTAGCATGGTCTCTGGTTCTTTCAACAAAGCCTGACTGATAGAACCATGTGCCAATACTTCAGAATAAACTGTGGGAAGAAAAGCATGAAGTGAGCTCTGAAAATGGGTCACTATGCACTTGGCTCAGAAAACCACCACCACCATGTAAATCAAGAGGTTCAGATCTTCACATCCACTTTAAGAACACTTGTGAAACTGCACAGGCCATTGAGGGTATGTAAACGGGAAACCAATGACACAGAAGCATGTGCCACTCCTTTGGACGTGTGGTGCTGGCACATGTGCCCAGGTCAAAGAGCAAGCCTGGACACAGGGTCAGTAGCCCAAAAAAGAGTGAACTTTTGCTGCACTTGCTTAAAAATTAAGGGTTTTGATGTAGAGGCTCTGGTCATGGAACACCTCCAGGTAAACTAAGTCCCCAGCGTGCACATAGAGCTTGGGGTAGATTTATCCCCTATGTGAGCTGCCCCTGTCATGCTAAGATGATTCTTACTGAGAAAGAAAAGATTGCTTCTAAATGAAAAGAGGAGATTGGACAGAAGAAAAGGATATCCTCAAAGAAAATGAAGAAACAAAAACTTGCAGCCTAAGAATCAGTTCAATCAATCAATCAATAAGATAATCAATAAGATAAATTCAAATAAAAGTTTTTAAAAGTAGGGTAACTAATTCTTCTTTCCTAAAAAAATGAAATTAAAAATTAAGCCACTATACCCTCACTTCCAAAAGCATTAACAAATTGTTAGAATTCAAATGACTCGTGTTAATTTTCTTCAGTGCAAATTTTCTGAAAAAAGTATGTGATGTTATGATACATGACAACTTTTATAAAAAAAACAGTCATTTGGGGAGTAGTTAAGAACATAATGAATTTTCCCCATGGCCTGCAACAATCCTATGACATACAAATTAATTTTTTAAACATGTATATCATGTTATAATCCTTACCAAATTAACTGTCAGGTACCCCAAAATCAATCACTTTTCATGTGATTTAGGTTCTCTATCACTTTTTTGCTGACTTCAGGAAATTCTACAACTTCTGCAAGATTAACAATTTCACCTTCCATTGTATTTGTATCTTGTGATTTAAAACACACATAAATCATTCATAAACTGATACTGCCAAACTATAGGATGAGAGATAATAACAGGCAGTCTGTGTGAAATGGGAAGGGATTTGAGATTGGATCTAATTTTATTAGTGGTCAATTTATTATAGCATGTTTGTCTGTTACATATTTTTACTTTTTTTTTTAAAACAAAGTAGTAATTAAGGTCACTTAGATAATAAAAAGTTGAGAAAACAAGGAACTGACATACTCCATGAGCTTGAAAGGTTTTTAGTAAGACACAATTAAGAACTAGAACTAAGAAACAGAAGAGGAAATATAGAAAAAGATGAAATTTCAAAGCCAAATCTATAATAAATATAGCAATGCTAGCCTCATGGTACCAAGAAGATGGTAAAGTCAAGGAATTTGTAAGAACAGTAAAAAACAGACTGCAAAGACCAAAAGCTGAAAGTTTTATAGCAAAAACTGTATTACAGAGATAATTATTATAGATAGAGAACATGGAACAAAGTTGCACGCAGAGACTATTGGCTTCTGACAGCATTTTTCCCACTAGAGAGAACAAAAACCCAGTTTGCTAAAACCTGTCTTCCTCTCTATGACCCTATCTTTACCTGCAAAACCCCAGCCTTAGTGAATGTTACAATCCTCCTTTTCCACTCCAGGGAAATAACAATTAAGTTCATCTCAAACCTTAACTGACTAGCCTGCAAAATAAGGCTGGCCAAATATACGTAGGATTTGGACTTCTGAATTCAGCTAAGAGTCTTCAAAGAATCTTATCTGGCTTCTCTTATCCAGGACTATCAGTCAAAGGCTGGCTGGCTCTCAAGAGAGAACCAATTCAGCTGAGACGTTTTCTGTAGAGCTTCCTCGAAAAGGCTTCAGTGCTTGTCAGCAATAAGAGTTGATTTCTATATAGTTATCATTTATTTCCCCCAAAGTTTATAAATAAATTTACGTAGTAAATATTAGTTATTATTTTAAAAAATACTTTTTATGCTCTAGCCATTTAAGCAAACATCCTCCTCTCCGAGTCCACCCACAGCTCAAGCTCAGATGTAATCTCTAAAAGCCTGCCAGGCACTCTGCTCTCCATAGAAAGCCCTCAAGTTGGAAGCCTGCTCCTTGTGTCTTGTGCTTGATACTTAATCTACCATCTCTTCAGGAAACAACTAGACAAAGAGGCCTATCTGATCCTCAGAGGATTTGACATAGGGGAAATGTACTTTTTATTACCTTTAGACTTCTACACTTTTCAAAGAAAAAAACTCTCAGCATTTTCAGTAATCATGTAACAGTTTACTTAAT